ATATGACAATGAACATATAATGGTTAGTTTGACCAAATTCTTAATAATATAACAAATACAATTTATAAAATATATTACTTTATTTTTATTAAAATTTATTTATTTTAAAATAATTCATATTTTTATTGAAAGTTGTACGTCAAATATGTATATAGTATGTTGCTTCCAAAATATTACAGTCTTATAATAATACTTTATGAATTTACACTATCTATAGAGTCTTCTAATTCAAAACATCATTCTTTACTCATGAATATTTAGAATATAAAGTAAAATAAGAAAAATAGAAGAATGTAGATGAACTTTACCATTGTTGGGGCAGAATGATATGTCCTATTTATAAGGATTATGGTTATATAATTTTCATTTGTAAATTAATGATAAAAATAAATTAGGTAATTATTATGTAGTAATATACCCTTAAATATAACAATTAACATATAATGGTTAGTTTGACCAAATCTTTAATGATATAATAAATACAATTTATAAAATATATTACTTTATTTTTATTAAAATATTCAAATTTCAACAATGCAATGATTTTTATTATTATTATTATTATTATTTTATCTTGGTTATACAATGGGAGGCAATCATCTTTTATCTTTCATCCTTTATCCCATCCAACTCACATGCTATACGACTCGAACTCAGGATCTCTTACTTTCAACGAAAAGAGATGATTACTGAGTTATTTAAGTCGTTAGCAATTTATATTATATTATTAAAGCAATTGATAAAATTTTAGAGTAAATTAATAATTAAGAGTTTAAAATTTTAAATTAAAAATTTTAAATTTGAATATTGAGTAAAGTGGGGGAGGGATTTGGGAAAAACAAAAAAAATGAGAGTTATTTCCTTTTATATAACCTATTATTATTAGATATATAAAAAAAATGAATGGATATATATAATATTATTGATTCAAAAAATAATTAATTATTAAATAGTACAAGATCTACTTTTTTTTTTTTTTTTGTATCTTGATTGCATAATGATCCTTAGAAGATTATTACTGAGTCACTTAAATCATTGATAATATAAGATCTAATTTTTAATATTTTAAAGGACATAACTTATACTACATTATTAATCTTAAATTTTGATCCAAAAATTTGATTATAAATTTTAGTCCCATTTATTATTTTTTTTCTTTTTTTAAAAAACATTAATTTTGTCTTAAAATAATTTTATTTTTTAATTTTTACTTTTTCACAAATTAAAAAATTTATAAATAATTTATTATATTTTTAATTATATTATTTTCAAAATATAAAAATAAAGAGAATTTTATGATAATATACTAATTAATGTTAGTAGATAAATTTAATTACTAGAGGGGAAAAAATATTTATTTTTTAAAAAATAAAAAAATTTAGAATAAATTTGGGTAAAAAAAATGAAAATTATTTTGTGTGGAAGGAGTGTAAATCAATGACAATCTGTATTAGTATTTAGTAAACAGTATTGCGGGTAATTTAAAATTAAGATTTTATTTTATTAGTTGAGGCTGAAGAAAAGCGTTTTTGAATCTCACTATTCAAAGCTTTTGGAAGGATGATATTATTGTTATATTTTTAATTATCAATATCATATTTTTTTTATTTTAATTAATTATTATAT